AACGCTACAAGGTGAAACATCTCCTGCGTGAATCAACTCCGTCTTCCGGAAACGTCACGGCGTCGGCGCCAAGTCCCTAAAATGCAGCAGGAGATGGCGACAAAGGCGGACTCTGCTCAGGCGTTGACGGAGCTTTCGCCGTAGAAACAGGGGAATGAGAATTCGGAGCTTTCGCTGGAGAAACAGAGGAATGAGATATTTGAGCTCTCGCCGGAGAAATGTGTAACGCCGTCTGCTTTCTGACGGAGAGGACAACAACGGTCATCTTCAGACCTTTCAAACAGTGAGCTTGATTACTAGTGATGAAATAAAACGGACCAGGTCGATCAAGGCTAACCAAAGCATGTCCATTGAAAAAGCTCCGGCGAGTACGTCCAACGTAGCAGACGTTGTAATCATCAACATCCCTCACTTCGTGCAACGTTTCCAATCCCTTCTGAAACTTAAAATCTGCATAAAGATTTGAGCTTTTTCAGTTTTGTCCCAAACCCATCTTTAAAAACTCAAAATATAAAACCAAACAACAAAAAGAAAGAAACTTACAGATAGTGTCATTGACTTGGAAACGGTTTTTTTCAGCCCAAGTATTGTAGTAACTCTCCCGTGGATTTACGGCCCAAACGCTGTCACCTCCGACGGTAAAAAACAAAGCATCAGCGACGGAGAAGAGGGTTGCAAAGGAAACGAGGATGATGAAAGAAAAACAGAGACTTTTCGTGATCGCCACCATGGTTACGAGATCGTAGATCTGAGACTTAGTGTGTTTGTGTGTTTGTGGGTTTGTGGAGAAATGAGTGAAGCTATGTAACGAATGTATAGAAGTATAGAAGCGACGAAATTCTCTGAATATGATAGAAATGGAAAACGAAAATTGGTTGTTAGAGTAACTTAATTTTAATTTTTTTTTTTAATTATTGGAATGTTTTTCTGGTAAGGTTATAAGGATTTTCAACGCTGTTGGTAGAAAAACCAAAGGCATTTAGCTATTTATGTTTTGACGTGTGAGAGAATTGGACTCACGTATTTAACTCACTTACCATAAAAAATACTGATTGTATTGTGGAATTTTCTTCCAACTTAATTATTACTTTTGAATTTTTGATCGAAGAATTTAATTCGGTGGCAACAAAGTTTTGAGAAAAAGAGGTTGTTTTTTCAGTATTTACTAATTAGTGACTAGGTTTTATACGACTCACTCATTGAATTTACTGACTCTATTCCCACAACATTTCCTATCAATTATCTTTGAAACATGAGTCATTTTTTATGTGCCTACATTAGGACTAAGATGTTTTTTCAAAGGTCAGGGTCATTGGAAGCCCAAGCTGAGTTGGACAGAAAATGCCCAAAATGCCTTTGTTATTATTTTTTTTCCCACGATGAAAATAAGACATGAGGCAATTGGGACTGGAAAATGCTCTATTGGAAGAAATATCTATTAAAAAAAACAAACTTTAGTTAACTAGATTGACCATGTAATTCATGTATATAAAGTCCGTTATATGTTTAACCAGAACACATACGAAAAAGGACATACTATCATCTGATTCTGTGTATTTCGTATGTTCATCAAATGATCACTCATTTAATATAAGTGATTCTATTGCTGTCAGTGCCATTTTTTTGTTTTGGTCGAACTTGGTGTTAGTGCCATATACGTATTACATTACCAACCGATATATGACTACTCCAAGTCTCCACCAATTCACCCTAACCAACATTCTAAAACGAAAAGTAAACGTAGATTAACAAAAAGAAATTTCTTTCATTTAAGTTGCAATTTTAGTAAAGTCTGGCACATGTTGATAGTGGGGATCAACTTAAAGGCCAGTTCAGTAATGGATATTTTATTTATATTTCGAAGTCGGTATACAAGTGTCTTAGTTAGTTTGGAGATCTTTGGATGAACTGATGATTACAAAGAATCCTGAATCAATTTCTCTTCTATTTCTCAAGGATAGTCCAGGTCCTGAATACAGTAACAAATTCTCCTATTTATAGTACATTAATAACTATTATGTACCTTAGATTATTTTTCTCTAATTCCACTGACTTGTATTATTGGGTTTTTATCTATTGCGGACCATCTTTTCAGACTGAATTCCAAGAAATGTGGTGTTATTAACACTTTTTTGACGACCCTATAGACCGAAGAATATTTGTCAGAGATGTTTTCCTGATGGATTTCTGACAGCTATCTAATTTGGTTAATTACCAAAAATAATTCGTTAATTTCGTTAATTCGTTAATTGCTTATGGTTGCGACTAATATTAGATAGACTAGAAAATAATTAGTTAATTTTCATTTTTCATCATTTCATGTTTTAATCATTTCATGTTATTATTGTGAAACATAAAAACGTTGATAAACCACATATACCATTCAAGTTCTATGCAAATATGAGAATAAATGAAAATAAAATAAGAAAAATAATACCAAATAGTTGCGGATTCTTAGCTGCTCATGGTTGCGCTAACCAAATATAAACCTTGGCTTTTCGGAGCCAAATGTTATAAATAAATTGGTTTCCATCTAGTCTACAGTTAAACTCACTTCACACTACTCTACATATGATATCAATGTAAATCTTAAAAGCTTTAATCCTTTTAATAGGACTTTTACTCTTTCTAAAACTCAAAGTGATATAACATAATTTTGTTAAATGGGTCGAGTATAAATGGGTCGGCCTCAACAATCAGGTTAATATAGCAAAGAAAACAGTTGATTATCTCATTTAGATTAGATATTCTCAGACATTAGCATACATAGGGCCCCGAGAAAACTTAGCTAGACATGGAACATCTTTTAAAAAAAAATAAAAATAAAAAGACATAATTAACAACAATGATGGTTTATTATGAAGGCAGTGATGATGATGATGATAGTACAAAGATGTGAATGGATGTGGCCTCACCAGTCACCAGTCACTACTATATATAAACAACAATGGGGCTTCTCACATTATGTGTGCCATCTGACCAAATCAGATTCGCAGAAGAAGGCAGCTTTGGGTTAATATTGCTGCCGGAAACAGTGACGGTGAAAGACTGCTTCTCGTTCACAGACTTCATTGATAGAGCACTTGGGGAGACCTCAATGGTGAGTTTAGATCCGTGATTCAAGACAATCTTTGACTTGTATGTAGAGTTGGGGTTACCGAGGTTTGTGACGGTTCTGTTGAAAGTCACGGTGAAAGAGCTATTAGAAGATCCCGAAAGTTTAGCCGACATTGAAGGATAGTTGAGGTTTCTTGGTAAGGTCTTTCCAGTGCAAGTGACGGCTTCACCGGAAACGAGTTTAAGGGTTTTCAAAGTGTAGTTCAAGCCGCAGAGAAAGGCGATGTGGTCTGCTTTTTCCAGTTCATAGACAAGTCCAGGATTTAGAGCAGCTACAGGGTCGACATGTCCAGCTCCATAGGCAAACTCGGTCGATGCAGCCCCAGTTCCAGAAGCATTCATTGGCCAAGCTGCAAGATTTGATTAAGAGGCGCCGTATAAGAGTCAGAGTTATCAGCAAAAAAAAAAATAGTTACTTGTAATACAAGAAAGTAAAAGCTGGATATGAAATTTTGGTTTACCGGTTGTCATGATGGCAGATTGAATCATGGAAGAAGACCACTCTGGATGAAATGTTTTGATGTACGCAGCCACGCCTGCAACGTGTGGACAAGACATTGAAGTTCAGGATTGAACAGAGTACTTGACATGTCTTGTGTCCCTCGTATCTTCTGATGGTGAAGCCAAAGGTGAATAGGCAGCGAGGATCTCCACTCCTGGTGCTGTTACATCCGGCTGCAATCCATCCACCATTGTCTCTAAGATAAAAGAAAGAAAAAAAGAATCAATTAAGATCATAAAAATGTTACCCTTAGAAAGATCAACAGCGACGGTGTTTGGACCACGAGAAGAGAAGAAAATAACTTTAGGAGCTATCTGATTATAGTTTGCCTCAGTTTTTAGAACAGTGCCTTGCGGAGACCTGAGAAAACAAACACAGAGATATATATTAGGACAAAGAAGGATAAATCAAGAGAAAATGTATGGATTATGAAATAGAGAGAATTAAGATCGGTTGTTACTTTGTGGAGTTAACGTAAGAGACAAGATAATCGAAGTCATCTTGTGATAGAGCAGAGAGGGGAGAAGCACTAACGGAGGAAAACTCTATGTTGTCTCTAACTACAGATGCAACAGGTACATGTGAAAAAACCATTTCAGGGCAAACCACGATCTTCCCCTTGACGAGACTTTCATTATTATTACACTCTGTATAAGATTCACCGTACACAAGAGGATACTTCTTTCCTTTTAAATCGAAAGAGTTCACTGATTTTCCCTGTTAAAAACAAAAGAGCTAGTCTTTGGTAATTAAAAAGACGTAATTAAATGCTATGGAAATGAGCGTGTGTTACTTGATGCTTACGTCAAATGTCTTGCCGTTTCCGAGCACAACTTTAGTCAGAAATCCACGGTTCGTGGTGCTGGCTGCTACAGTTAAGATCCACGGCGCTACACTCGCAACTGAGGCCGGATTCGGACCGCTGTTACCAGCTGATTGCACAGTGAGAATCCCTTTGGCCATAGCGTGAAAAGCCCCGATCGCGATTGTATCATGCTCGTACAAAGGCGCACTAAGATCCCCGATAGAGATGATGAGGTCAACACCGTCTGCGATCGCGTCATCGAAGGCGGACAGTATAGATTCCGAGCTACACTCTTTCTTGCCGCAGGCTTTGTAAGCGGCAATTCTAGAGCTCGGAACGCCGCCTCTTGCCGTTCCATTGCATTACCCAATCCAAAGAAGCTTGCGCCTGCGACTGCGTTTCCAGCCGCAGTGGACGCTGTGTGTGTACCGTGGCCATCAGTGTCCCTAGCGCCTTCGCTTGTGTAGTCTCTTGCTCCGATCAACTTGCTGAATCATTTTGTAAACACACATCAATCTCTTCCTAAAACGATCTACTAATCTTTAAGTATAGAACAAGAAAATTAATCTAAGAGGATTACTTGTTGCATGTGAAATTTTGGCCGCCGGAGCAAACTCCTTTCCATTTCTTAGGAGGAGGACCAAAGCCTTTGTCGGAAAAGCTCTCTGATTCCGGCCAAATCCCACCGTCGATGACTCCAATAATAGTATCACTTTCCCCGGTCGGGTTCCTCTTGGTATTATTTCCTTCCTTTAAACCCATGAAGTCCCAAGACGCAGTCGTTTGGAGTTTTAACTTCTTGTTTGGGAACACAGACACAACTCCCTCCATTTCTAAGCAAAAACATTTGTTACGGTTTTTGATTATGGAACTTTTCTCTAAAATCATTTCAACATTAAAAGTGTCTCAATCGATCCAAGGACACTCACCAGCTACTCGTTCTCTTTCTGACTCAGTGAGTCGGGCCGCAAACCCGTTAAAACTCCTCTTGTAACTTCTCACCAAACGACCTTCAATCGAACTATTGCATATACATACATACATACATAAAACACTTGTTAGAATGCTCATAAGTCACAAACTAATATTATATGTAATCAATATCATACCTTTCTCCGGTGACTTCTTGAAGAATACTTATGTGATTCGACATTGGTGTGTAGTCCGCTCGAGACGGAAGTGAACCCATGTAGACAACATACACCTGCATAGATTATTATCATCATCATGTATGATATAACGTAATAAGGAGAAACAATATATATATATATATATATATATATACTAACATACTTGTTTGTCTTGAGAATCATCTGTGACTGCTGAGACCGAACTCAATAACAAGATAAGGACACATGAGAGGAGTGAAAAGGAAGCTGCTCGGTTGGCCATCTTTTGTATGATATAATCAACTAAAGTTTACTGTAATTTCACAAATTCTGTGGCGACTAACTTGATATGATGTATAAATAGTAGACTCCATGCCTAAACCGTGTCAAGAAAGAAATCCTAATCAAGTTCGTTTGATTCTGTTTCTTTACATTTTAAGGAAACATATCTCTGATTTTTTATTTTGTTACATTTACTTTGAATCCAATTTCATTTAAGGAAACGTATATATTACAACTGATTTTGTTCTCTGTTGTTTTAAATACTACAAGAGCTTGACTAGTATGTTAGATAGATTGGAAAATAATTCGTTAATGATTGCATACTTAATTGCTAATCAGAGAGGAGAATAGTGACTTACGACGCATACTGTCAATCAGCCACAAAGCTCAAGCAGGTTTTAGCTGGTTCCTCTACAGAACATTTCCTCTGGACATCCAGCTCTTCACGGTGATTAACTGCAATCCCACCTGGAAAGCAGAAAACACACTACATATGCAAACTGTAAATAAGAAACGAAATAGTAACAGTCTAACAGACATAAAGATTAAGAACGAACCGTGTTACAGAGCAGCAGACCCTCGAGATATGCGTTAACACTAATTTCTTAGGGAAGGGGATCATATGATATGATCACTCTTATAGTTTGTTCTGATGTTTTATCCCTTCTTGTTACTTTGCAAGGCCTTCAGCTTCTCCATGACAACTGTCAAGGTTTTGTGTGAATCTTGTGACAAGCTCATGGATGTTATGAATCCTCTTGCAAGTAAATCTTTCATGATGATATCTGTCTCAGAGAATGATGTTCCTCGGGAAATTACCCCATTGATGAGAGCTTTGTAAGTAGTCACATTGGCTAAGAAACCATCTCGTTTCATCTCTTCATAGAGTTCAAATGCAGCTACCATATCACTTTTACCACATAGTCCAGTAATCAATACATTGTACGTCACCAGATCAAGCTTCAGGCCACAATTTCTCATGACGACTCTCAATTCCAGGGCCTCTGTAACATCACCATTCTTGCAAAACATGTGTATTAGAGTAGTGAAACTAGCAATAGTTGGAACCAGCTTCATTTTCAACATGGACCGAAGAAGCAGCATAGCTTCTTCAGCCTTACTACATTTCGCAAGAGCTCTCACCATTGCACTCTCAGCTACATTAGGCGGACATATCTTAAGTGCTATCATCTCATCCTTCAGCGCAAACGCAGTCCTTATATCTCCCACTCTACAAAGCCCGTTAAGCAGACCAATGTACTTTGTACACTCAGGAGATAGACCTTGCTTCGACATTTCGTGCAAAACCATGCGAGATTCCTGGAATCTGTGGTTTCTGTTGAGGACGCTTAAAATGGCGTCATAAGTATTTTTGTCAAGGGAGATACCCTGTAAGTTCATGACATTAACTAGATCAAATGTCTTGCTGATCTTTCCATTTGCACAACACTTGGAGATTAGCATGTTGAACGTACTCCTGTCAACATCATAACCTCGGCAGATGAATGCTTTCAAGATTTTAAGACCAATCTCCAACATGTTGGATTCACAAACTCCGAGAATAAGAGAATGGCACGTGAGCTTGTCAGGCAAAATGCCGTTCAGCATCATGGATCTATACAGCATAAAGCTTGTTGATATGTCTTTCCTCTTTGAATACCCATGCAAGAGAATATTGTAGGTAGTCAGATTAGGACCCCAGTTTTGGTTCGCCATTTCAGAAAGAAGGTTATTTGTCTTCTCTATTTGCCCCATCCTTGAGTAACCGTCAATCATTGCGTTTGTTGTGACAGCATCATGGGTTAGGCCAACCTTTTCCATTTGCTCCCGAAAATAAAAAGCAGCTTTCCACTGGCCAGCCTTGAACATACTATCCACAAAACAGGTATACATCACCTCGTTGGGAAGTAAATTACCTCGAGCCTCAGCTTCCATGGCAAAAAGTATGGCAATAACACTCTTGCCCTTCCTACACAACCCAGAAATAAGACTGGTATATGTATAACCGTCAGGCCAAATGCTGCACTGCACCATCTCACCAAAAAGAGAGACAGCCTTGTCCAAGTTCCCTGATTTACACATTGCAGTGAGTAGTGTGTTGTACATTACAGTATCAACAGCTGTAGGAACATCATGGAGGCTTTTCAGAAACGTCTCTGCCTCTTTCAAATGCCCACCTTTGCATAATCCCTTGAGCAGACTACCATATGTGAAGAATGTTGGGTGATGACCTAACCTGGTCATCTCATCAAATATAGAGAATGCTTTTAGCCCTTCACCTAAGCTTCCATACCCGTCTATAAGACAATCAAAGCTAACTACGTTAGGAAGAAGACCATCACTTGTCATGCAACGCATAAATTCTTCTGCCTCACCCACTTTACCAGCTTTACATAGCGAAGCGACAAGTACATTGGACGTGAAACGGTCTGGAGTATGGCCCTCTAGGATCATAGCTTTATAAATTCTTAATGCTTCCTTTAAGCATCCCATAATGCAACAATTGTATATCAGCGTCGAGTATATGATGCCGTTTGGACTAAGACCAGCTCGGTACAATTTACACACTATCTCCCTAGCAGTTTTAAACCTCCCCATCTTGCAAAATCCATTTATAAGTGCGGAGTATGTGACAATATCGAGATCAATACCATCTTTGCTCATTTCATTAAGCATCTCAACTGCTTCATCCAATAACCCGTTTTTGCAAAACCCATCAATCATTCCAGTATATGTTATTCGCCCAACAGCGATCCCAGTTCTCTTCATTTTCATGTAAAAGCCTCTCGCTAAATCAAATTCTGCATGTTTGCACAACCCAGCTAAAAGTACCCCATAGCTAACTTCAGTAGGAGTAAGACCGCGCGCTTCCATCATATAAAACATCTTCAAAGCCTCTTTAAAGTTTCCCTCACTAATGTGTCCATCGATCAAAGTGTTAAAGGTAACATGATTCGGGGAAAGCTTAAAGGTTAACATCTCATCCAAAAGTTGACGAGCAATGAGAACCTTTCCTTCAATAGAAAAACCATTAATCAGCGTATTGTACGTGACTTCATTGGGGTAAATCATCCTCTTCCTCATTCTCCTCAGCAACAAATAACCTGTGGCGC